ATATATATATATGAGTTATCCAGTTTTAATATTTCTCTTAGTTCACTAGTAGTAGTACGATTCTATTAAGTGCAGGGACCATGGCGGGTCGCTAAAAGTTTTCCCTCACAAAAATGAATCACAATATTATAATAAATAAGTCAGTGATGGATTTTGTGACGAAATTTTTGTCAACATTTGTATTTTGTTACAAATTTCGTCACAAATAGTTTAAAATTTTTTGTAACAAAATTTGTGAGGAATTATTGATCCCTCTCAAAATATTAAATTTTATTTATGAAATTTTTATATCTAAGAATTATGTAGAATTAAAGAATATATGTTAAAAAATAAAAAGAGTAAAAAAATAATGAAATTTAAAACATTTTTTTTTCATGAAAGGACTGGAAAATTATGAAATTCATTTAATTAAATGATAAATTCTCATTTTTGAGCATAATAAATTAAGACATTAATTAAAAACATATTTTAAATAAAAAAAAACTTGTGAAATTAAAAAAGAGAGTATTAATTTAATTTTTTAGCTAAAAAATTTAAAAATGAATGTGTAATTATAAAATATAATTATGGTGTTACTTATACTTAAAAATAAAAAATTTTAATTTAATAATTTAATTATAATATAATAAATTTAAAAAATACTTATAAATTTAACTAAAGAAATTATAAGTGTCTATTTATTTTTCTAAGTTATTGATTTCTTATTTTTTAATTTTGTTATTTATTGAAAAATGTCTTTCTAATCTCATAATTTGTTAATTTTAAAATTTAAATTTTTAGTTTAAAAATTAAAATTTTCTTATTTTTAGTTAATAAAATAATATCTTTTAATTTCTTAATTTTTATGCTTAAAAACAAACTTATAAATTAATCTAATTTAAATTTAAAAGTGACAAGGATAACATGTAAGATAATTTAATAGTGACTAATTAAAGTGGTCATGTAACTATTTTTTACAGAAAATTAAGATTATTAAAAAAAATTATTTGTTGATGGATTAAAATGAAATTGAATATCTTTTAGAAAGACAAAAAACAAATTTAACTTTAAATTTTATTAATAATATTGAAATTGAGTCACTTAGTACCCCCATAACAATAATTTTTTAAAATAAAAGCACATCAAATAAAAAGTGTTATTATAGAAGGGTCTTTAATAGCACATCAAATAAAAGTGTTATTATAGAATTCTGAGTGATATGTAATGCTAATTTAAGAAAGACCGAAATTGTGAAAATAACTTTAAATGAGATTTGACTTGTAATATTTATATGTTTAGATTTGGGTAGTTATTTCTGAAAAATTTATATGTTTTGGATTTAGGAATTTAGTTCGAAGGATATATTAGACAAAATTCCTAAAAGAAATAATTTATTAAAAGATAAAATTAATTTATATATAGTTTAATTTGTACAATTGTTGTATAAACTTTTTTAAACTATATTTTTTAACTTGTAATATATTTATTATCACATTGAAAAATAAGAAGATAATAGTTTTAGTCACGTTTCATTAGAAAAGGTGATTATATATGTTAAAAAATTGATGAAAAAGAGAAGGACAATAGATTTTTTTAATACAAAGATGAAACTATTACTTTGTAATATACTATCATGTGCATTTTTTTAGTCTTGTTTTATTTTTTTTATAATTACTTAAAAAAATATTTATGATAATTTATAATATATAATTGATAAAGTAATGTATGAAAATGAAACACATTCCTTAATAAAGTAATAAACACATTCCAAGAGTAAGTGAACCTACACTTACTTCACTCAATAAATTCATGTTCTACATCAAATTTCAATGATCCAGCTTTTCAATTGAATAATTTTAATGTATAGATCAACTCTACAAATTTTCAAAAAATTTGAAAACTAACTAATATTCCATTTTGTTAATTCAAATGAACGTATAAAATATTGGTTAAAACTCTTATTTGGTCTCTTATAATATTTTTTTGTTTCAATTTGGTTCCCAATAATTTAAATTATTGCAATTTGAGACTTCCGTCCAAATGATTTAAACAGAGTTAATTGTTGGCCACGTGGATGTCAAGTAGATGCCACGTAGATGCATAAGTGAACGTCAAATTTCACGAATACACCTGGAATCAGAACGGCCGTTCTGGTGTTAGAACGGGCCGTTCTGGATTCAGAACGGCCCATTCCAAGTGCCAAATTTACACACTAATAGTGTAACCAGAATGGGTCGTTCTGGTTCCAGGTGTATTCGAGAAATTTGACATCCATCTACGTGGCATCCACCTGACATCCACGTGGTCATCAATTAACTCCGTTTAACTCATTTGGACGGAAGTACCAAATTGCAATAATTTAAATTATTGGGGACCAAATTGAAACCGAAAATTAAAGTGGAACTAAATTGAAACAAAAAAATATTATAAGGGACCAAATAAGGGTTTTAACCTAAAATATTTTTAAGATTATCCGACAATTTGAATTGATAAAACGAAATATTAAATAATTTTCAAAATTTTTAAAATTTGCAGAGTTGATCTCTACACATTAAAAACATTCAATTGAACGGTTATATCATTGAAATTTAATGTAGAACATGAATTTATTATTTTAAAATCTTGTAACGAAATCCTTAACCTAGTACTAACCAAATAAAAATTCTATTAGTTTATACCGAATATATTGTGACATATAAATTTTCTTAAAATATAATAAATAATTATCTTTTTATTTTGATTTATTCTAAATTCATCTTCTTAAATCTTTAATTTTAATATGCTAATTATACTAAAATTTAAGTAATTGATCTATTGAGTAATTTTAGCGCATGCTAATTGTACCATATCTTAAGCAATTGATTTTTTTGTTAAATTTATTGATTGTAAATATAAAATATAATTTATATGTAATTTTATATCTTTAATTTTTTGATTTAAAAAATATTCTAAAATATTTTTTAATCATAAATTATTGTTTATGTATATTATATTTTCATATATGTGTCAATATATAGTATAAATTAATATATATTTATATATATATATATATATATATATTAAAGAACGAAAGTGTAATTTACTCTTATTTGTATAATTTTTTATTTTCAAACATCATATTATTAAAAAATAATTTAACAATGTAATATAGATATAAAAATTTTAATAAAAGATAAAAATATAGTAACATTTATGCATATTAAACTCATTTTAAAATTAACATTCAGTCAATTTAAAAATATAAACCATAAAAATATTAAAAAAAACGTTATATTAATAAAATTTTATTCATCATTTTATAAAATTATTAATTCATTTTATATTAATATAATTTCAAAAGTTAACATTAATATTAAGTATCAATTTAATAATTAAATTATTTACTATGTTAATATATTTTTTACCTTTTAAATATATTTTTCTTTGAAATAAAACAAAATGTATACTAAAACAATCCTTTTCCCTCTTATACTCATGAATTTTCCCTCTAAAAAAGTAAAAATAAAATAAAATCTAAAACGTCAAGTACATACCCCCAAGAGCCTAAATATCTATTATGCTCATAAAACAAGGATTTCCGAGAGTGTTGACTCACCAAGAGCAAAAAACCTTAAACCCCTAGATCGCTAAACCCCCAAATGCGAAAGTGTTGGCGCCGTCATTGAAGGATTGCTGGCTCCATCGTTCAAAGACTGTTGGCTTCCACCGTAACTGCTTGGTCAATATTCATTTTTTGGCTCCCACCGTAATTGCTTGGTCAATATTCATTTTGAAATGTCGTTCTTGAAATGTTGTCTATGGCCAGGCATCCTTCGATTCCGAGAATAATTTTTTTTTGGTGTGGGGAGTATCATTCTTTGCGTGGCCTACAACTCATATAATTTTGCTTAGTCAGTTGTGTTTTTATTGAAGTCCATGTATGTTTCGTTTCTTGTTGGATGCTTCTGGTTTGTACGCTTTGGTTTAGAGGAAGCTCACTGGTGTACTATTAGCTATGCATTCTTTTTTTTTTTCTGGTGTTTATTATTATGATGTTATTTAGCATTTAAATCTACCGCGTATTATCAGAAAAGGACAAGCATTGCAATTCAACTGGTTATATGAGAAAGGTGCCTTTGTCTGGCATTCTGAAGGCTCAATTTCTGTTGATTTTACCAAGGTTTTATTGCTTCAAAATATTTGTTTCTATCTCGGTCCCTCCATCTTAAGTTTTTTTGACACGTACATGGGTGATAATAAATAAAATTTTCTTCCTTAAGATTGAAAGAGCAGTTGAAAGCCTGAGCAAGGAGATACTCACCATTCAAGCCAAAGGTGATAAAGAGGCTGCTGGTTTACTTCTCCACAAATACTGTGTAATGACAGAACCACCAAAAATTGCTCTCAAAAAGTTGGAAAATATTCAGGTATAAATATCTAGATCACAATTCTCTTTTTGTTTTGACAAGATGATGAGTATGTTGTAATGTCTAATGAGGTTTTACCAACATAAAGAATGAGTTTCACGCTGCAAAATCCTAATTAGTTGTCTAAGTAAGCATTTATTTATGACCCACGTTTTCAAAACATTTTAAATTTATACCTTATGGGGCCCTATTAGAAAAGTCACAAAATGGCCTAATTTTGCTATCAATGGTTACAAGTTTGTAACTAAATTCCAAAATAAGGGAATGAGTACAACAAATCATCATGTTTGTGTGCGAGGATGCCAATATGAAGTAATGAAAAATGATTATTATTGAGTGTTAATTGATATTTGTGAATTGGAGTACACTAGGTGGCCTAACAAAAAGTTGGTTTTATTTAAATGCGACTGGTTTGATTCTAGTTCTCAAGGGACAAAAATAGATATTTATGGCAATGTTGAAATAAAAAAAAAAATCCAGGAGATATCATAGCTATGATCCTTTTATACTAGCTCAACAAGTAGAACAAGTGTATTTTACATCCTTTCCTGATGGACAACAAGGTTGGTTTGGTGTCATAAAAACCAAGGCACACAATATAATTCAATCATTAGGACATGATAAATTTGAAACAAATGTTTCTTACCAAGATGATGATCTACAAAAAATGCCTTTAGTTGTTTCAAATGATGATTTTCAACAAAGTCTTGTTGATATTATAGGCATAGCAGAGGAAGTTCCAAATGACATAGAAGAAGAAGAAGAAGAAGAAGAAGAAGAAGACATACAATTGACAACAAGTAATGAAAATGATTATGATGAAACTTATGAAGATATATATTCAAATTAACTTAATCTCATGTTTCATATTGACTCTTTTATGTACTTAATTAAATATATATTAATGAGGCATTTTCAATTTCTATTGTGTTTTTAATAACATATTGTCATTTAATATAATATGCCAACTACATTACTTTGTTCATAGACTTCATGTGTTAATGTTGTAATTGTTGTTGATATGTGTACATTAATAGACTTTGATGTCTTAATCTTGTGCTTGTTGTGATATGCATACATTACTATATAGTAGACATTATTTGTTAATCTTGAACTTATTATTGATGTCTTAATAAACTTCATTTGTTAATGTTGTACATTGTGTATATAGATTGTGAGTAGTAACATGACTGATGTAGCAAGAGGGAGAGGCAGTGGTAGAGGTATGAGTAGAGGTAGGGGAAGAGGGAGAGGTAAAGGTACCACCATTGTGCCACCACCTTTTACTTCTTAGCCAACACATTCTATTGGAGATCCCCACATTGTACTACACAACCTACACATGCTTCCACCTCCCAAACACCTACAACTCCCCAAGGTAACCAACCTACACCTACCTCATGTTACTTCCACTTCCCAACCACATTTAGTTCCTCAAACTAACCAGTCTATACCTACCCCTCATGTTTCTTTGACACAATCCCCAAATATGATTGAAACACCATAGACAAATCCCTCCATTGATGTTACTGGTAGTCCAATTGTTGGATCATCATCCTCTATTGATCCATCTTTAGAAATTGGAAGTGTAGACTCTAATGGACGTATTTGGATTTGTCCAGGTCCACAAAACACGTAAGTATTAATAATTCTTTTCTTTTAGATCAATATAAACATGTTTCGTGTTATAAGTTATTTTAATTCTTCTATTTTTTTTATAGATTTGACCTACCAATTCACCCTACTCGTGAAATTTCAAGAATAATCAAAGGGAAGTTTGAAGGGTCATGGGAATCATATCGAGAGGTTAAAAGCACTAATGAAAGTGTGGCAAACATGTGGTTTGAAGAGTTTCAGGTATAAATAACTAGAAATATTATAATAACCATTTTATATTTTCATTGCATTAAATTGCACATTGTTTAAACATTTTATAAATTTTTGATGTAGAGAAAGTTCAAGTGGCTGGCTGATCATGATGCACAAATAAGAAGAGCATTTGACCAAAAAGCATCTGAAGAGTTTTCAAATGCTATGTATAGGGTGTGACGAGGCATTGATCTAAGGAGTTGGATTCCAAAGCAAAAACGTGTATAACTTGAACAAAAATGGAATGATAAGAACTGGAAAGAAAAGTCAAGGACTAATACTAATAATAGAAATTCTTCTGATGGTTCACTGCATACTGGAGGATCCATTCCTACTTCTGAGCATTTTAAGAGATTGGTAAGTAATATTTACTTATTCTTTTAAGGAGCAAAATTTAAAATTAAACTGGATTACTTTTTGTTCATTCATAAAATATATGCAAATATGACTCCAACATGTTGCGACCTATTCGAAATGACCCATAAGACAGCAAACGATAATAGACGAGTGTCTTCCAAGGCAGAAAGGATAGCTGTAAGTTATAATTTTATATATATTAAATTATGAAGAAGTTGGTTGATATTGTTATAGAGACAACAATGGTTATGTTTGCAAGACTTGACATATAATGGTTATGTTAGAGAGACAACAATGGTTATGTTTCAACAAAGGCTATGGTACTGTGAAAGTTGTCATGTTCTGTCCTTCACTGCCGACTTGACAAATTAAGATAGGTTACAGTCAATAGTCTCAAAATTGCAAGCCATACCATTTATAGTATGTAATTTTTTATATGATTTGAATTTTTTAGTGAATTATGTGAACATAGAATCATTTCACCTTATTGGTTGTGCTCAATTTTAGTTTCATGCAATGTGAAGTGCCACCATTTCTGCATCTTAGTTTACTAATTGCTTAATTCAATGGGATTCATGTTTATGTGGTGTTGCATCTAGGTTTACAAGTTATTAATTTCATTGGAATTCATACTTATCTAGTGATGTTTCTAATAAGTTAAGATAGGTTACAATCAATGGTCTCAAAATTGCAAGTCATACCATTTATAGTATGTAATTTTTTATATGATTTGAATTTTTTAGTGAATTATGTGAACATAGAATCATTTCACCTTATTGGTTGTGCTCAATTTTAGTTTCATGCAATGTGAAGTGCCACCATCTCTGCATCTTAGTTTACTAATTGCTAAATTCAATGGGATTCATGTTTATGTGGTGTTGCATCTAGGTTTACACGTTACTAATTTCATTGGAATTCATACTTATCTAGTGATGTTGCTCATAAGTTAAGATAGGTTACAGTCAATAGTCTCAAAATTGCAAGCCATACCATTTATAGTATGTAATTTTTTATATGATTTGAATTTTTTTCTGAATTATGTGAACATAGAATCATTTCACCTTATTGGTTGTACTCAATTTTAGTTTCATGCAATGTGAAGTGCCACCATCTCTGCATCTTATAGTTTACTAATTGCTAAATTCAATGGGATTCATGTTTATGTGGTGTTGCATCTAGGTTTACAAGTTACTAATTTCATTTGAATTCATACTTATCTAGTGATGTTGCTTATAAGTTACATCTTAGACTTTTTACTAAGTATTTTTTTGTGTTCTTATTGCATGATTCTCTGCATCATTCATGAGATCTTCTATTATCATTAATGTTTATATACTTTTATTTGTTACTTTTCTTTTTATAGAATGAGTATGAAAGACGGTTATCTGAAAGAGAGTCACAACAATCATCAGGAGATGCTGCCTCTAGTGTGCAATCTGAAAATAGTATTTTCTATGATGTTGTTGGTGGTGTGAACAATAAAGGAAGAATATTTGGTCTAGGTTTAGAGGCTGGGAAGTATAAACCTTCTTCTTATAGATTCTCATATGGTATCTCAAATTCTGAGTATGAACAAATGAAAAATCTTGTTTCAAATTTGTCTAAAGAAAACAAAACATTGAAAGAACAATTGCAAAGCCATGCATATTTGATTCATGCTTCACAGGAAGAGTCTCGGTTGGTTCGTGAGCAACTAAAGTAATTTATGGGGACGTTTTCTCTTGGGTTGGCTTCTCAATCTTCTTGTCCTCCCCAACCTCCTCCTATACATGATGCAAACACTATACAATCTGATGATAATGAGTTAGATGATGATCATGATATAAATGTTTAGGGATGCATTATCTTTTACTATTATTAATATTTACTATACTTTAAACTTATACTTTGTTATGTTTAAGTTTTACTATAGTACTTATCATACATTAGGGATCAGCTAAAGTCCTTAACTTTGTTATATTTAGTGTTATTTATATCTATCGTATGCTTGACTTTCTTATATTGGTGTTTAGTTACATGCTTTTATAAAATAGAGAATTTTTTCTTAATTATTTATTTTGTTAATTTTTTTTAAACAAATAAACAATTAATAAATTTAGCTTTTTGGATTAATTAATAATTTTTTGTTATATTCATAATTAAAAAAATATCACAACTAGAGGAGAAAAACATATTCTTCACAAATAGTTACGAAAAAAGTCCTTCACTAAATAAGATCAATAATTCACAATTTGTGATGGATTTTATTAGTTGCAATTTGTGATGGATTTTATTCATCACAATTTGTGACAGACACACATTTCTCTCAACTTGTGACATTAATAAGAGGCACATATTCCTCATAAATTTGTGACCCCTCACAAATTTGTGACGGAGTTAATCCCTCACAAATTGGGATGAACTTAGAGGTCATCACAAATTGTGACAGAATTTTATTAATTTATATGAACATTTATTAGAAATTAGTGATGAAAAATGTACTATTCGTACCGTCTTACCGAGCTCGAGCTCGGCTTCACAACACAAGACAACCTCGGATATGCGCTGGGCGACCTCGGCCTTAGACGAGGTCCGCTATCCAATTAGGTCATAATTGATCTCGGGCCCAAGGCCTAGAAAATCCTAATTCACACAAAGGTACGTGCATTAATTATACGAGACTAATACTCCCACAAACACTAACTTTGGCATCAGAGTCTCTTTTGCAGGTACCACCCCCATCTTGGAGCATCAAACGTACCAGCGAAGGAGGCTCGCCGATCTTACCCAGCGGATCATCTCTACGATAGATCTCCGGTAAGAACATTTGGCGCCCACCGTGGGGCCGATCAAAATAGCTCTTATCGGCCACGTTTATGGTTTTCACCAGAAGCCATAGCAGACGCGCAACAAACGACCTAGATCACGCAACCAGCATGGACAACAAAGCAGCATTGAGAAGGCTGATTGAGCAGGTCGAGTAGATGCGGTAGCAACACACCGCTGATCTGCAAAGCATGCGTGCTAAGCACGAAACTGACCTAGCGGTGATGCGAACCGCTAACGAAGCTGACCTAGCGGCTTTGCGCACCGAGAATGAGCGTATTCGTGCTCAACTACCACGGCGCACCTCTGATCAACCCCTTCAACCAAGTAACATAAACGAGGAAGAGGGGCACTCGGTTTCTCACCCGCCGACAGCACCTAGGGCACAGACTCCCAAGCCTGCCACACATCGCCACACGCACCGACGAACAGGTCGGCTCATGAGGTCAGCAATGCCCCTGCACACGTCACGGGAAATCAAGCGACCTTCCGCCGTCATCCTTTTGTGGATGGCATTATGGAAATGCCCCTCCCCTCTAGGTGGAAGCCTCTCTACATCGACTGGTACGACGGCACGATAGATCCGGACGAGTACATCGACCTCTATACTACACAGGTAAACCTTTACACTAATGAGGATGTTATTCTGTGTAGGGTCTTCCCGACCTCGCTCAAAGGGGCCGCACTCAACTAGTATCCCCAGCTACCTGCCGAGTCAATTGACAGCTTCGATACTCTGGTCAGACGATTCACGGCGCAATATGCAACGAGTCGACTTCACCTCGTAACGTCGGCTGCTCTGGCCAGCCTCAAACAGGGCAATGACGAACCACTACGGACGTTCATGGAACGTTTTGCTGGCATCTCGGTGAAGATTCACAACTTGAATCCCGAGGTCGCCTTACACGCCATGCTCATGGCACTCAAGCCGGGATCGTTCGTCGATAGCCTGTGCTGAGAAGCCCCTCGCGACATGGATGAGCTCCGTGCTCGTGCTGCAGGCTACATCCAGATGGAGGAGCATGCCGAGTTCCGCAAGGCAATTCATGAAAAATCACAAGGAAAGCAAGACCAAGGTCAGGCCACGAACATTTAAAGTTGGCGACCTTGTTTGGCGATTACGGGGAGAAGCAAGAATAGACCCCTCCAAAGAAAAATTTGGAACCAGGAATTCCACCCACCTCAAACTTTATTTCTCTTAACTTGTAAATTCAGGTGATGTACTCTTTTTCCTCCTCAGCCTTTTTTCCCACTAAACAAAAGGGTTTTTGGCCAAGGAAGGTTTTAACGAGGCACACCTCAGAAATAAATCAATAAAGCAACTCCATTCCCATACATTTTCGGTACTGGCACAATAACCATGACAACTTTCCTAGGTCGAGTTCGAACCTTGATGTTAAGGTCGAGTCCGAACATTGAGATCACATTTTCTTAACCAAGGTCGAGTTCGAACCTTGATATGCTACGAGTCCGAACCTTGAGATCACATTTTCTTAACCAAGGTCGAGTTCGAACCTTGATATTCCAAGGTCGAGTCCGAACCTTGAGAACACATTTTCATAACCAAGGTCGAGTTCGAACCTTGATACGCTAAGGTCGAATTCAAACCTTGATATGCCAAGGTCGAGTCTGAACCTTGAGAACAAATTTTCTTTACCAAGGTCGAGTTGGAACCTTGATACGCCAAGGTCGAATCCGAACCTTGATATGCCAAGTTCGAGTCCAAACCTTGAGAACACATTTTCTTAACCAAGGTCGAGTTCAAACCTTGATACGCCAAGGTCGAATCCGAACCTTAATATGCCAAGGTCGAGTCCGAACCTTGAGATCACATTTTCTTAACCAAGGTCGAGTTCGAACATTGATATGTCAAGGTCGAGTCTAAACCTTGAGAAAACATTTTCTTAACCAAGGTCGAGTTCGAACCTTGATATGCCAAGGTCGAGTTCGAACCTTGATATGCCAAGGTCGAGTCCGAACCTTGAGATGACATTTTCTTAACCAAGATCGAGTTTGAACCTTGATATGCCAAGGTCGAGTTGATATGTCAAGGTTGAGTTTGAACCTTGAGAACACATTTTTTTAACCAATGTCGAGTTCGAACCTTGATATGCCAAGGTCGAGTCTGAACCTTGAGATCACATTTTCTTAACCAAGGTCGCGTTCGAACCTTGATATGCCAAGGCCAAGTCTGAACCTTGAGATCACATTTTCTTAACCAAGGTCGCGTTCGAACCTTGATATGCCAAGGCCAAGTCTGAACCTTGAGATCACATTTTCTTAACCAAGGTCGCGTTCGAACCTTGATATGCCAAGGCCAAGTCTGAACCTTGAGATCACATTTTCTTAACCAAGGTCGCGTTCGAACCTTGATATGCCAAGGCCAAGTCTGAACCTTGAGATCACATTTTCTTAACCAAGGTCGCGTTCGAACCTTGATATGCCAAGGCCAAGTCTGAACCTTGAGATCACATTTTCTTAACCAAGGTCGCGTTCGAACCTTGATATGCCAAGGCCAAGTCTGAACCTTGAGATCACATTTTCTTAACCAAGGTCGCGTTCGAACCTTGATATGCCAAGGCCAAGTCTGAACCTTGAGATCACATTTTCTTAACCAAGGTCGCGTTCGAACCTTGATATGCCAAGGCCAAGTCTGAACCTTGAGATCACATTTTCTTAACCAAGGTCGCGTTCGAACCTTGATATGCCAAGGCCAAGTCTGAACCTTGAGATCACATTTTCTTAACCAAGGTCGCGTTCGAACCTTGATATGCCAAGGCCAAGTCTGAACCTTGAGATCACATTTTCTTAACCAAGGTCGCGTTCGAACCTTGATATGCCAAGGCCAAGTCTGAACCTTGAGATCACATTTTCTTAACCAAGGTCGCGTTCGAACCTTGATATGCCAAGGCCAAGTCTGAACCTTGAGATCACATTTTCTTAACCAAGGTCGCGTTCGAACCTTGATATGCCAAGGCCAAGTCTGAACCTTGAGATCACATTTTCTTAACCAAGGTCGCGTTCGAACCTTGATATGCCAAGGCCAAGTCTGAACCTTGAGATCACATTTTCTTAACCAAGGTCGCGTTCGAACCTTGATATGCCAAGGCCAAGTCTGAACCTTGAGATCACATTTTCTTAACCAAGGTCGCGTTCGAACCTTGATATGCCAAGGCCAAGTCTGAACCTTGAGATCACATTTTCTTAACCAAGGTCGCGTTCGAACCTTGATATGCCAAGGCCAAGTCTGAACCTTGAGATCACATTTTCTTAACCAAGGTCGAGTTCGAACCTTGATATGCCAAGGTCTAGTCTGAATTTTGGGATCACATTTTCTTAACCAAGGTCTAGTTCGAACCTTGATATGCCAAGGTCGAGTCTGAACCTTGAGATCACATCTACTTAACAAGGTCGAATTTGAACCTCTAAACAACAAATTTGGGAACACCTCAGAAGCCCCTTTGCTCTTACATCACTCGATGCTTGGGGGGCAAGTGTACTGGCCAGCCGAGTTGCCGACTTGTCCCTCACCAAACTGCTGACTCGATCAAAGGTTTACCAACCTAACCAAGCAGTAAGCTCATTATTGTTGAGCTCCTCAGCTCGACCATGAAACATGGATATCGGAACACCACATCGGCGCAAAGAGGCCATGTCATCAAACAAATAAAAATACAATCTTGTCACCGCGTCGCCCATGCGTTATGGGAACAAGGTGACGGTTATGATACATGGCGTTATGACGGATAGGCATACGTGAAAAGCCACGACCCCTTGTCGAGCTCGGTCTTAACTCCTCGACCTACAGTCTTCGGAGCTCGGGGGGCTAGTGTACTATCCGTACTGTCTTATCAAGCTCGTGCTCGGCTTCACAACACAAGACGACCTCGGATACGCGTGGGCAACCTCGACCTTAGACGAGGTCTGCTATCTAATTAGGTCATAACTGATCTCGGGCCCAAGGCCCAGAAAACCCTAATTCACACAAAGGTACGTGCATTATACGAGACTAATACTCCCACAACACTAACTTTGGCATCAGAGTCTCTTTTGCAGGTACCACCCCCATCTTGGAGCATCAAACGTACTAGCGAAGGAGGCTCGTCGATCTTACCCAGCGGATCA